TCACTTAATGCACTGAGATTCTCCCTCTCCACCTGGGGTTACCTCTCTGGCCACTGAGACTCCACATGGTGTTTTCAGTGCGGGAGGGAAAGGCAGGATCAGATCTGGAGGTTTGAGGTCTGTGTGAGGGGGATGACTTGAGATTCTGTTCAGGGGAGACCAAAACCTGCAGCAAAATGACCTGCAGAGACTAGACCCGTGGGGGCTGCAGGCAAGAAAGTGGGGCAGGGTCTGAAGGCATGTGGGAACACTCAGGAGGAATAAAAAGTGTAGATACGATCTCACTGTACAGCCACACCCTCCACACTAAGCTCTGATTTAATTTTCTCTGAGCACTGTCCTACCATTCAGTTTTTGTGTTCAGATCTCCCTGTTTGCCAAGGGAGGAGTGTGGAAGGGGGAGAGGACCTACTCCCTGAAAGCTCCTGTATTTCAATGGCAGCTCTTTGTCTCTGAGGAAAGGAGCAGCCATACATTTGTTTTCAGCTTTAGAGGCTGAAATGAAATTAAGTGTAAATGCATTCCAAGCAATGGAGTCAAATTTGCTTACTAATCTGGGCTGCATCTCATTTTTCTCCTCCTCACACCGAAACCAGCAGTACCAGTAGCTGTGCCTGCCTCTCCTCTTCCCAATCCTGCAGGAGAATCTCCCTGGAGCCCGGCTTGCAGCAGGAGTAAACAGAGGTCAGGGCAGCAAGAAAGGAGATGAGGGACATGGAAATGGGATGGAAGTCAACAGTGACTTGAGATCCAGGAGAAATGTGCTGTTCTTTAAAACCAATTCTCTTAGCTTTTCCTCAAAAAAGGATCTACTTCTTCATTTCAAAGAGGATTTGGGCTGAGCAAGGAAGTCTGGCTCAGCAGGTGAGGTGGAGATAGGGAAATGTTTGGTGTCAGCAGAGAAAAATCCCCATTTTATTAGGTAATTTTGTCACTTTCCCAGTTTACCCTGCCTGCCTTGCCTTTCCTTCATGATCTCGTTAACCCACGCCTTCCTGCTGCTTCTCAGCCTGCAGAGCACAGGTGCCACCAAGGAGGATCTAAACACACTATTAACTCTGTCCTGCTGTCAAATTAACCTGTTACCAGGGGTTTTAAACTTGCCTGCTTCATCAAGAGCAGAAACAAAACAAAATGAGAAATAAATTTCTTCATAGCATTTTTCATTATTGCAATTTGGTTAAAACACCTTTTTTGTTAAGGTTTGAAATTACTTTTTTTTTAAAGGCAGATATGTTTGTTTTGTCTTTACAACTTCAAAGCAAAATTATGACTTTTTTTTATGGTGTGTGTACATATATGAGTGTTTTGCAGCAGTTATGAAATCTTCTAAATTTAAAGTTGGTTTTTATATTGTCTAATACAGTAACTAAAATAATGCAGCATTAGCTCAAAAAAATATTTAGAACAATAATATATAAAAGGAAAGGAAACTAGACGAATTATTCAAGTAAAAAATATAATACGCTATCATGACACGTAAAAATTAAGCTGTGTGCACTTTGGTTTTTTTTAATAAATTACACCCGTGTTTTATATTTATGGCTTCATCAGTAGTTGGTTTAATACTGAAAGCCAAATCTTTTGGGCTGATATAAAACTCTCTGGGGCTCCCTGGCTCTATTCAGCCATGCATGGATTTTTAGATGTTCCAAAGATCACCTAGAATGACTGTACTCCTTTTATTCATCTCATCAGCAAAGTTCATCTCATCAGCCAGAGAGGTACCATCTAAACTTTTAGGCTACAAATTGTACTTTCCCAGCAAAAATACTGTGTATTGTACTTACAGAGACTGTAAAGTACAGGATTGCACATCAACGATGTGTCTTTTTATGTAAGAAAACGGGAAATTGCTGTTTACTGAAAGAGGATTAGAGTAGCCCTAAGAAGGATTCAGCTGTCTGCCTTTGTATGCAGATCTAAAATAGTCACAAATTAGCCATTTTACCCTTAAAGCAGTGCATACATGCAGCTTTTTTTTTTTTTCTTTAACAATAGTATTGAATACACGAACAGGTAGTTTTGCCATTTCCAGAAGTATCTTTAAGGGCAGGGCATGCTGGTGACTAAGCAATAGACAAGGCCATGATATCTGATGAAACACTAGTGCCTGAGAAGCAGCATGATGTTGATTCCAGGAGGTTGGTCTGAGTGGGTTTTGTGAATTTTAATGTAGTATCAGTCCTGGGTACAGCGTCTTTCTCTTCCCCACCCCTACACATGTGAAAGCCAATCTATATGTGCATTATTTTAATTTTCCACAGGCTGCTTTTTTTTTGCTGCTTTTTGGGGTGCTTTTGGGTCTTTCTTTTGCTATTCTCACTGAAGCCCTGATCAACTTTAAAGGCAATTCAGCATACTGTAAAGAAGAAATTTATATTTTCCTCAAGATATATATTTTTTTTAAGATGTATTTTGTATCTAACAGCGAGTATGATTGGTGTGAGGAGGAAAAGACTTCCTTAGTCTGTTACACATGTACATGGGAGCTGGGCGTATCATACCTGACCTTACCTGGCCAGTGAAGTCAGGTACAGAAATCACCACTGTTCCTTCTGGCATGTTGTCTTCAGTACGTCTTTGCGTGCAGCTTTGAAAACTAGGTTAACACAGAGAGCACTTTTTTTAATGTTCCCTTTCAGTGCTTTAGATGCCTGTTCCCTGATAAACTAAAATCAACCATTCCTGCAGCCATGTAGAATTTCCCAGGAAACTTCTGTTCTGTGACCATCTGTGAGCTTCTCATTTAGTGTCCAAAAATGTACCTTCAGTTCCTTGGTCTGCAGCTTTTCAAGCACTGGGCTTTCCATTTGTAAACTTGTATCCATTTGCCTCAGCAGCATCTGGTTGTCAAATACTCTAAAACTGCAGAAAATCACATCAGAAAAAAACCCCTGAAAATATTTTGGGTGTTGCAGTTTACCAGTTTTTATATTTCCTCATAGATCGATCCATTGCTGAGTTGCGTGAGGATGTGAGATAAAAATGCAAAATAGCTTTAAATTTCTTGTGTGTTAAGCCAGCACAGTGTTCAGAGGATGCTGCTTCTTGTTTTCTGTTCAGTCTATTTTTTAAATTTTGCTTAGACAGAGACCATAAGCTAATATTCAGAGTTGCTTGGCAGTAGCCAAGTTGTGAAATGCCCACCCAACCTGTGGGGCATTATGGTTGCTTAGTTCATGCATGTAAATCTGGGAGTTTGAGCACTGAACAAGTCCACACCCATAGGGTCTTCTTGGAAAGTTTGTTCTAACATTTACTCTTAATGGCATTATTAATTTAATGGTTCCATTTTCAGAGACATTGAGTAATGACAGTTTTTAGAAAAGTCCAAACAACTGTTTGAATATTAATTTGAAATGTTATGAAGTCTGTGCTGCAGCTGGGGTATATGTCAATGCAGTTAGTTCCATCTCTTATGATTTAGTTCAAATCTACTATAACTTTACTACTTTACACTATAAATATACATTAACAGATAAAAAAAATAATCTCAGTTTTAGAAGCATTATTAACAAAAACAACCCCTGGCAAAAAGCCTTTAAAGAAAGTAGATCAGAGAATTTTTGTTGGATGCATTTGATTTGTCTTTTTGGCAAGCAAAGTCAGATTATTTAAGGATACACTTTTAAAATGGTGTATACTAAATGTAACAAAGAGAAATGCAACTCTAGTAACTTTACTGTGCAGTTACTTTACTGTGTAGTAACTTTACTTTACTGTGTATAACCTGAAAAGGAGGGTAGTCTACCCAACCCTTGGTGTGTGGGAGATTTTCTTGATTCTCAGTGCTGTATTTGTCTGTTGGAGCCCCAGGAAAGCTGAGACTCCTGTGCCCAACCAGTCTGTCAGTGTCCTGTGAGGGGACCCTTCAGTGAACAGATTCACCGGGTTGGAGGATGATTTGACTGCCCTTTTCAGGAGGGGCTCAGGCAACCGTGTGGAAATCCCTTAGTGAATCTTCCCAACCTGTTAACCACCACTGGCAACTGCCAGCAGCTCTGAAGGACTCACTCTAACAGTTTATGGAATACCACTCTTTATTAATACAAATTGGGACAGGTTAATAAGGTTCAAAGTCATCAGTGGTAGTGTCTGACTGCAAAAATGAGTTTAAAGTGATCTACTAATATCCTCTAAAGCAAGCACAAGCTCTAATCCTAGAAACAGCATTCAGTGCACATAGAGTATATTTCTTACCCAATAGGCCCCTACAGGGGGAAAACAACATATGCCAGCAATTTCAGTAGAATCTTCCTCAATTTTCCTGCTATCCTCAACTTACTTTTATACTATTTCTTTTGGTTAGGTGGAGCTTGAGTGACTTCAGTCATTACTACTTTGTCTCTGATTGATGTAAACTCACTTCACATGCTTAATGGGGGTGGTCACATCTTGGCTTCCAAGGATTTCAGTATAATTGTTGGCTCAGCTGCAGAGCATCTTCATCTCTGTGGCTTGGTTGACAGGTACTATGTGGTCTTTGAATTAGAAAGTGTCCCCATGTTCCCATCCCTGCAGGGATTTTTATAGAGTGAGGCCATAGTGTCTCCACCCCACCCTCTCTTCCATGTCCCTGTAGCAGATGCTTATCATTGTATAGGGAACCTTTGTGTTTCCATCCAAGGAGATGCATCTGCATTTTACCCTATAATCCTTAGTCTCCTCTAATTTTTAACCCCAGCCATCTTCCCACACTGTGCCATAAAGATTTTCAGAGATTTCAAGTCTTTTTTTTAGAAAGATCTCAGTTCTGGAAATGCTTATATGTAGTTCACAGTTTGTGGAAGTTAGTATGTAAAAAGTCTTTGAAAGTTTTGGACTTCAGTGGTTTTCTTGCTAGTGTTGAAAAATTCCTTTGGGAATTTACATTAGTACTGCTGTGAAAGGGGTGGTTGCCATTATTTCTGCTCTGTGCATTTATTGAATTTGTGATAATTTCCCTTGATGCAAATATAAAATTTGATGTGTTGTCCTGTTCATTTTTGTTGTTTTAGGAGTCTTTGGATGATTCTCAAGTAGCTGGAGTTTGTACAACAGAAGAAGTGATTCGCTATGAGTATCATGTCTTGTACTCCAGCAGCTACCAAGTGCCTGTGCTTTATTTCAGAGCATGCTTTTTAGGTAAGACTGACCAATCGTGTATTAAATATGTGGGATGCAGTAGATGTTAAAAACAAGAATTCTTGTGTTAAAGTGAGGAACAGATGTGTAAAATAAGAAAGTAAGAGATGAGGCTCTCACCAGTAAATTTCGTAACATAGTGCTTCAGGACCGTGGAATAGATGATATCACCTCAGCCTGAGGGAGGCTGAACTTAGGCTCCTGGCATCTTGCCTGTGGTTGACTAAAACTGCCGGTCATTTTTCTTGTTCCTTTTCTTGAAATGACTGCAGAAACTTAATGCAGCACGTTTGAATTGGACCACGCAGTAAGTGGGCATAATCACAGAGCTTGTGTGTTTCTTTGGAGCCTGAATTTGAGCCAAAAGGCTGGGGTCTAAACGTGTCTTTAAAATTGTATGCTGCTTTCTGTTGAAATTTGCTGCTTAAGGGGAAATAAAATAATACCAATATGGTATTGAGTTTTTGTATTTAAACTGGCTCTGGAGGCACTAACTGATCATCTTTCCTTCCTGAAATATACATCTTGTTACCTAAGGCTGGTGTTTGTGTCACTTATTTAATCAGCGAACAGAGTGATCACACTGCGGCATTGGCTGTGCTCTGTTCCTCACTGCCCAAAGTCTGTGTCCAGCACTGGTACAGGCTGCCCAAGGCAGTGGTGAAGTCACCATCCCTGGAAGTCTTCAAAAAACGTGTGGATGTGGCACTTGGGGACAGGGTTTAGTGCTGAACATGGCCATGCTGGGTTAAGGCTTGGACTCGATTTTAGAAGTCTTTTCAGACCTAAAAGATTCTGTGATCAACATCTTTTGTGTTTTGAATAATATCTTACCTTTATCTAGATAAAGATGTCTGAATGTTGCCAGTGATATCTTTTCTTTTTTAATTAAAAAGTAGCTTAAACTGCTTTGAATGTGTTTGGTAGATTTAATCACACTCTGCCTTATATTGTTTAATGGTTTCTAATTTTACAGTTTTGGCATTTTGAAAGGCACTTCACATTCAAAATTGGAGAACAAATTCTCATAGACTCCCTGGTGGAAAAATTTTAGTCTGAGGTGCAGTTTCAGGAATGGATAATTTGGGGTAAATTTTCAGACTGGGACATGGGGAATTGGGGACATTGCTCTGCCTTTACCACCAACAGAACTCATTTGCACAAATCCTGCTGCAAGTTTATTTCTAGTTTCATTACAGGCTTTTACAAATGTGCACTGTTTTGCCTTTAAACTTGTTGTGCAGACAGGAAGACAAAGGAAGTTTTGCTGTGAGAGACAGGTTAACCTATTTGTGGTCCTGCAAAAGGTAATTTTCTTGATTTTTGCTGAATTAATAGTTCACTGTCTCTACAAGAAGAGGATGGAGATGCTGCAGGTAGAGGAAGTAGGACACTATCTCTACTGTACTGTACTTTCATATAATTAGTATTCACCATAAGCAGTTAATCACCAGAGAAGAGCTCATAGAGACAAAACAAGTTGTTTAGCTTGTCAGCATCAGGGAATCAGAGGTGTTGAAACATGACTCCTTATAGCTGGAAGTGGGTATTACAGGAGCCAGTGGATGATCTAATGCACAATCATTATGTGCAAACAGCTCCCCTTGCAGTACAGAATCGTAATTGTTCCTGCAAGTACAATTACCTTTTAAAACACTTCTTGGGAACCTTTCACAATGGAAAGCAAGGGCTTTTTTTAGATACTTCCTGAAGTCACCTGGGTTCTCTTTTAATGTTTAAGTATACCTGACTCTTAAAGAGAGAAGGATGCAAAATGGTGGCAATAAGTGCGTTTCCTACAATGTTTTCGGCAGGTATTCTCTGATTTTAATTACGGATAGCTTACCTTTGAAATTTTGTCTTCCCTGCACGTTGTTTGCCTGCTTGTGCTGTGCTGTCTGAAGGTCCCAACATGGGGTTTTCGGGACTGCGTAGGTGACAGTTGCTCACAATCTCTTGAGATACCTGAGCAGTCAGTGTATGTTTTATCTTGTCCCAAACCTGGTATGAGGAAAACTCAAGGTAATGCCCTGAGATTTTTTTCCTTTGAGGTAATAGTCTTCATGTGATAGGCTCCTCACCTTGTTTCTCAGACAGCGAGCAATACTCACTGCGTTCCTTATCTGAAATAATCAAGGAAGAATTTTCCAGACGCCTTCCTCAATTTCCCAGTCTAAATTCCTACCATTATTTGTAAATTAGGTAACAGAATCAATTCCTCACCAATGTCTTGTGAGCTGTTCATGATTTCCCTTGAATCCTGTCCGTACTGATCCTGATGTTAATTAGAGCTGTTGCAGGGGGTGGAGCTGAGCTATAATCCTTCCAGGATTTCCACAGCCCTGTCCCGTCTTGCCTTCCCCAGGAGCGGGACACAGAGTTCGAATCCAAAATTCTGCTTCCTCCCTGGCAGTGTGTTCAATGGCCATTACACCTAGATGATGATAATGATGATGATGATGATGATAATAATAATAATAATAATTCTGTTCAACCTGATGGAGTAGTTTTTTTCGTATTCACTTCCTCACTTTGTGTGTTCTAACAGCAGCTGATGCTACCTGTGCAAATCTACCAGACTCTTGACAAACTCTTCTAGAACGATGAAATCCTGCCTTTTTCCCACTGTATGTGAGTCCAGTTCCCATTGACTTGGTCTCTCACAGTCCCGCCTAGGAAAAAGGCTCCCTGTAGAGTTACTAGGGGGATTCTCCTGTCATTTTCAGCTTGGTTGGCATCCTTAGGAGCTTGTGTCAGTGAAGACATCCAGTTTTCACTCCTTTCTACTGCCAGTTATGTTCAACCGCTACAGATCACTTCTTCCTGCAGAAGGGAAAAAGTTGCATTGTATCCTTATCCTTGCTGCTGTCTAAATTGGATGAAATAGCTTATTTTCTGGAATTCATCTATAGACCTCTTTTTGTTTTGAGATGAAGTTTGATACGTAAGGTGGTGTAAGGAAAGGTTTGAAATTTTAATTGCAGCAGAACTTAAACATTCTGAGACACATCTAAACTTCTTGGTAGTCTCTGGGTGTAGATTTACAGGGAAGATCTTGTTCTGTGCAAGGACAAATATTTCAGTTGAAAATGATTGAAGTGTGATGAGCGTGTCTGGAAAGATGCTTGGGAACATTATAGGATGCCAAGAAGATATTTTTAGGCTACACGTATACACATAAGAAGCAATTTTCGCTACCTCATGATGCTTCCCCACGTGGCATATATTCCTAAATTCAGACCTCCTGAAGTCACAGTCTGTGTCAGGAGCTCAAGGCAGTGGTTCCAATACCTCAGAGGCTCCTTTCTCCAAAATCAGCCTTATGCCTGCTATACCTTCCAGAAATAGGAGCCCCTCTTCCTTTCTCTGGCTTTTGGGACTATCAGGTAGGTAGTTGAAGAAATGCATGAACCCTTGCTGACATCACCCCTGCTGATATGTGATGTCAGCAATTAGCCCTCTTGGAGACAGATGGTGTAGGCAATTATCCTTCCTCTTCAATGCTGGCGTCGGCCAGATGGGCTGGGCTAGGTCCAGTAAGCTTTCTTTAATCAGCAGAGTATTTACCTCTTTTCTTAGTCTTTAAAATGCCAAGAAACGTTGGTCTTTCCCTGAACCATCCTTTATCTGAAGCCATACATTCAAAAACATCTTGCCATACATTAAAAAACCAGAGTGAGGTAGCAGCAACACAATCACAGGTGAGCACAGGCACCATTCAGGAATTACCCTGCCTGCTAAGAAAATGATGGCTTGTCTCACACTTCTTGTTTTTCCTGAAAAGTTAAAGGAATTGTCATGAATGCTGTCTAAATACTGAAAAGAAAGAGCAGAACTAGTGGGAGTCAGTAAGGGCTTCAGCCTTACTCCTCTAGAAAAGAGAGAAGGAATTGGGTTTTCAAGCTGATCTGTTCAAAATCTATCTAGCTCTGTGACATATAGCTAAATCCCTGCCAACAAAAGCCATGCTAATCAGTGGTTAGGGAGAGTGAGCTTCTGAGATGGTGTAACTTCCTCTAACCCTGAAGGCATGACTTTCTGTATTCATAACCATACTGGTCCTGGCTGAAGCACTTTCCAGAATGCAGATTTACTCCCTGAACTCAGAAGCATGTAACCACCATGTCCTTTCTCAGAAATACAGCTCCTCTTAAGACCATGTCCCGTAAGAACTGGTTTTATTGTGGCTTTGGACATAAATGAGATTGAATAATTTGTATGATTTGATATTCCCTTTAGCTGTAATGGTGTTTTTTCTCTTTTGGCAATGGTTTCTTAAGATTGTTTTTTTATAAAATGTGTCAGAATGATGCCTCAAAAAAAAATTTTGTGCACCATTTCACCCAAAAGTGTAAAAAACCCCTTTTAATTGAGAATCTCAGAAATTATTAAAAACTTTAAATTGGGAATCTCAGAAATTGCTAAATCATTAAAAATTTAAAAATTATTAAAATTATTAAAAACTTTAAATTGGTAATCTCAGAAATTGTTCAAAGCCCTCAGTAAACATCAAGAAAACAGAATACAGCAAATTTGGAAGCCTCAAAATTTTCTCTGAGAATATATGTGGAATTTGCCTGCCTAAAGAATTTCCAGTCTTTGCAGGAATTAAGATACCAGCTGAGAGCTGCAACTCGTCTGTGGTCTGAAAGCCTCACCTTGCTGCTTATGAGAGGGCACTCAACTTCCTGCTTTTTAACTCTTTCTTATTTGTGATGACATGATCGAGTTAACCCCAAGTGGGCCATCGAGAAGCTTTTCTCAGAAAAGTTTGTTGTGGTCTAAACAGTTTAATAATAAAACTATCCTAGCTGGGCTTGGGATGAGCCTTGGGACATGGAGCAAGCTGTGTCCTTGTGGGTGGGTGATGAGTAAATGGAGTGATGGTGAATCTGGAGCCTCTGCCTTCCTCTCCTGCCACCTCTCTTGGCTTGGTGCTGCTGTTTCTTCCTCTTTCTGGCTGAACTTCCGGAGTTCAGCTCCATCATGGGGAAGGGTGAGGCACAAAGCCAAGAGGCTGGTTGGCTCAGCAGGTGCCACAGTGGCCCCCTTTTTGCCAGCAGCAACAATTACTGACTGCTCTGCCAGCCCACATCGATATTAGAGGTCTCAGTGCGTAGCAAGAATGTGCAACAGGGCTGCTAAACACGTGAGTGTGCTGGGAGCAAGTCTGGGAGCTTGAGAAAGAACTGGATTCACTGCACGGTAAACACAAAACTCAGTTTTACCTATAATATGGTTAATGCTTCAATAATATTTGATTACTTCTATAAATGAGATTAACAGAGTCAGAGTAATCCATTCCACTTGTACAATCTGAATTTGCTCAGGTGTTACTATAAAAATTCACAAGGGAAGGTGTACAGAACAAAATGTGGAGTGCCAAATCAAATGTTGCATTAGGACGTGTTATTCTAGATTTTACAGTTGGACTTTCTCTGGGGGTTGAAAACAGAATTGCAGGGATGCATGGCATCTTCTGTTACCTGCACACAGGTGATCTGAGCATAAATACATCCTTCTAAAGTTAATTACATTAGAATTTACAAAAATTGTATTTGCTAATACAAATTTCTTAGTATTAGCAAACCATCTCCAGCACAGCTCTGGTATCTTCATCATAAGACAGTGGACATGATGATCTAACAAGTCTCATGTCCATGAGGATGCCATCGAATAGCTGGTTAATATGCTGTTACCCCCTCAGATACTTTAATTGCCACATGATTTTGCTATGTGGCGCTTCTGTAAGTTCAGAACTTGGTGCTTTTTTATAAATATATATGCAGAAAATAAAAGAGAGGCAGTAGGCAGCTGGTTGGAACTTATATCTAAACATGGCATTCAAATGTTAATTGTGTGAATAACTCTTTTTCATTTTACAGACATGCAAATGTCAGCAGAATAAAACTATTTGTCAGAGGATGATGATTTCTGACACCTGATAAATGCCAAGATGAAGCTACTTATTGAAAGTGTATCAAAATACTCTGTTTGCCATAAACAAATGCTCATTAAAAGTTGACATGCTTATTGTATAAGTAGTTGACACTAATATCTTGGCATAATTCTAGTGTCACAGCTAAAAATCTGATGCAACAATACTATATAAATGGAGCTCAAGAAAATAATTAAGGGCATGTAGGTTACCAAAACGCAGCACACTTTTATATGCAGAATTTTAGTCCTTAGATTTTGTCCACTCTCTCACTATTAATTGGATGTACTTATGCACTAGATAACTCTTCATGGTGTTATTTTGTGGTTTTAAATTAATCTCATCCAAACTTTTGTTTTACAAAATTAGCTTTAGTTTTGCTATTTTGCTATTGCATATTAAAGATATGCTTAAGAGCTTTGGCTGGATGTGGTTGTTTCTCCCCATCACAGATGGAAGACCTTTAACTCTGGAGGAAATATGGGGAAGTGTTCATGCATGTTACCAGGATCGTCTGCAGGAGGGGCCCTGGGACACCATCACACAGCAGGTGAGGGTCCACTGGTCCTTTACAAAACTTGGGAATGCAGTATATGCCTGAGAATCCTCAGTGGCCTTATTCCTTTCCTGGGGACCCCTGGTGGCCTAGTGGTTAGCGGGACTCTCACCGCTGCGACCCAGGTTTGAATCCCAGTCCCCCCGGGCAGATGGAGCCCGTTAGCCCTGTGAGGCCATCCATCTATGAGAAGGTCACTCTAAACAAACCTACGTCCTGAGGACCTCACTGCCATTGTCCAAGCTTGCTTGGCCCCGGCAGATGAACCTTAGGATTAAAGGGTGGGCTCAGTTCAGCGCAGGCTGTGTCTCACCTAAAAAAAAAAATCCATTGTGCAGGCTTGAAAGGTAAAAGACCTTTCCCCAAATCTTTGTTCGCGAAGACTGGCCATTATTATTATTTTTATTCCTTTCCTGGACACAAGTAATAAATATAAATATAAAAATAAATACATATATATATATGCATACACACGCGCACACACACACAGGTCTAACTCTGGTTGTGCTTAGCCAGTTACCAGCAATAGTGTCAGTCCTGGTTTTGAAAGGATATATATTTAAGGCTTAGTTTGACAGTGTCTCACGTTTAGAATACTCTTCCAACGCCCATCCATAAAAATTCAGGCGATTTCTGAGTAATCGTGGATTTGGGCTAATAAAAAAGTAGACTTATTTATGTAAGTAAAATATATTATTTTAATACTTCATAGGTTGTCTGGTAATCAAATTACCAAAAAATACTGTGTGTTGTTTTCAATTTTAAATAGACTTGCAGTCCTCAGGACTGAATGAGAGAAAGTTGGTCTCTCATCAAACAATAAGTTATTGCTGTCTAATAGTGAAACATGGTTCAGAGCTGACTTGGTTGCTCTGATCTCTTCCCTTTTACTCCAGCTCCCCAGTGCAAGTTTGGACAAAGACTAGAGACTCTCCAAGTGTGAATTTTTTTCCCATCAGACCAAGATACCAATGTGTCCTTTACCCCTCCCCTTTCCTTCCTTGATTTTTTGGTTTTAGCTTTTTCCAGGTCTCTTGCCACAGCAGCTGACACAACAGGGATGTGACCTCCACTGAGTTCTACAGGTGTTCCTCTAATTAAAATAATACAGTTTAATTACAGGATGCCTACTTGTAGATGGTACTCAGCCATGGGAACACGAGCAGCATTTTTGTTTTTTGCAGCCATGGACTATTATTTATATTATGACAAACATTGTTTTTCTGGTGTTTGCTGTGCATGTCTGAATTCCAGTTGAGAGTTGGCAGATTCTTGTAATACACACTTTACATAAAGCATTAGTTACCTGGCTTGTCTATGAATGAAGATGAGAAAATTAGGTTTTAATAAAATGATATAATAATGTGTCACTAGTGAGAAAAAGGCATAAACAGTATGTTCGGAATGTGTAAAATCAGAGTGGTGGAAGCCAAAAGGAAAAACAGGTTACTCTCACACGGGAGTTATTTTTGCCTCTTAAGGGACAGTAAAGTAAAAACTGTCCTGCATCTAATAATTGGAGTTTTGTGTAAGAAATATACACACAAATCTTTGCAGAAACAGGCTTTTGGGGTGGCAAAATGTGTGAAGAGATGAATCTGTCTCTGGACACCTCTCCAGAGGCAGTTCAGCCACTGTGAATCCAGTGACAAACATGAACTAAGAGGAAAAGAAGAACATTTTGGAGAAATTTAGCAAAGTTGTAGCAGCAAAATGTGACTTTCTGTTGAAATAAGGAGATTATGGGAGATAATAAAAACACACTGTAAGCACTACCCTGCAAGCCAAAGACTCAAAGCAAGAATTAAGTCTACGAGAAAAAGAGGACTTTTTCCCCCTCAGATGAATCAGAGCTCTGAATTGCAATACAGAGTTTTCCCTCTCTGCTTCTCTGCTGACCCATTTTGTAATGTGGGTTAGGCTTTGCCTTCAGGGACACAGATCCTACAATGCAAGTCACTGGGCAGGCTCATCAAATCAGACTTGAACACTCAGTACACATGAACAGCACAGAGAAAAGGTTTAAGGTTTTAATCCAAAACAGATACAGATTTTAAATGGTATAAGCACTCCACCATTGTGAGGAAAAATGGAGCTTACCAGTGTCCACACATACTACTTAACTTTTAACTAGGGCTGATTTGTACTTTGATTGCAGATTAGGAAAAGAAAGGCTTACTGTCTGGTTTTTTTTTGTCCTTCCAGATCCAGAATCTTACACTAATCATTTGGGACTTTTATTCCAATGTGTTTTATGAAATGTGGGTACCATGCCTGTGCACATTTCTGATACAACTGTATTTTGGCTTATACTCTCTATGGTAAAATATATCTGAGATCAGGAGCTGAGACATTGCCTGAACTCCAAAGAATGTAGGTATTTGGCATTTACTGAATTTTAGGTAAAATTTGGACTTCTATAGTTTTGATTATTGTAGAAAGTCATGCTCATTTTCAGAGAAAGCATCTTTGAATATTTTTACTGACTAGATTATTGGAAAAATCAGAAGTCAGTTACCTTCTCATAAATAAATTAACATGATAAGGTTGCATAGTATTTTATAATGATAATTGATAAATGGTGATGATTTAATTGCACTTCCTCTAGTAATAACCTTAAAATGCTCAAATGAAATTCCTGTGATTGGCTTTCTTCTGAGATAAATCTCCCTGGCACCTTCAGTCATTCCTTCTCTACATCCGGTGATTACTTGCTTTAGCTGTTTTAAATAATACAAATCAATTAGAACACACAGCTATTTAACAAAGCTTCTAAATGTTGCTACAGGTCTCTGTGGGTATTTCCTGATGGCTTATAATGACATCAATTTAGCACACCTGGTAAGGTCTGTGTGAGCTGGAAGTAGCTTAATTCTACAATGACAGGAAAATTAAGGAGTATTTATGGATTAATGTTGCCTTCCAGAAATATTGCCAACTGTGGATTTTAGCTTCTTTATACAGAGATTCAGAAATGGAATTGCAGATATTGCATGCCTTTCTCCTGAATAGCTTACTTACAACTTGGTGGGTGCTTTTAGTGTTAGGTATTTATTTTACTTAGTCATATTAGTTATTTAAATATAATATAAAATATAATATAAATATAATATCAATCTTATTTATACTGTATAAAGGTATACATATATATATATTGCATATATTTATATGTGTATAAGTTATGCACAAATACATAGTGACATTGTCTAAACAGCTCAAACATACTGGTCCTTCTGTATGTAATATCCTCATAAATATTGAGGTATAATAACCCAGTTAAAAAGGTAGCAGGCAGAAAGGGCCATGATGAAATGCTAAACGATGAGGCAATTTGAAAGAAAAAAATGTCCACAAGAATAGGAAAAAGGTTGAAAAACAAAGAACAGAGAATAGAGAACAGAAATGAGAGAAATGGGAACAATCTTCACAATTATAAAGGTGAATGTATTTTATCACATGTGCTTGGTGTAACAACCATGAATTTAAAAAACAAGGTTAACTAATATTTAGTTAATGTATAAAGACTACATTTGACCTTTTTGTCATTTTGGAAATCTCTGAGGATGAGTGGTAGATGTGAAACAGCAGAAAGTGACTCTGTGGTTGTAGCTGGAGTTTCTGTGTTCAGACTGTGTGGTGTTGTTTGGGTCTTTGCTGCGGAAGGTGGAAATACATTAATTTTTCATCCTTTCTTTACCCTGATGAATATTTATAGAAGTGCATACAAAGTAGAAGGACCTCAACAGGGGGAGGGACAACACTCAGAGAAAAATGCATTTCTAAGACTATGATGAAGCTGAGTTTATTTATTTTATTAATTTTATGAACATTCATGCCCAAGTCCATTTTTAATTCTTGTTACTCATGCTAATCTATGTCTTCATTGATTTTTTTTCTGAGTGGAAGCAAACTGGCAGGAGAATTTTAAAAGCTGATAAATGAACCTGATTGCAGTCAGTACTAAGTATCACCAACAGTTTTGTTTTTAACAGAGTGATTTTGTCATAAAGCCTGACCTTTCCCTGAGAAAACAAAGTCATAAACACAATCAGGTGTGTGTGCTAAGGCTTAATCAATGCTTAGCGATGATGGAATGTAAAATCAAACATCCAAGGGTAGAAATCAAACTTTGTTATTACAGGAGGCTCAAAGGTTGAAAAACTAACCAATAAAACAGAACAAAAGTTTGGTGGCTTGAAGATCCTACAGAAATAGTCTAAAAAAGTGTCTAAATAGTCTAAAATCCTGTGAGTCAGGATTCCAGAGGAAATGGAAGTTGTAGAGGATATGTCCATCCATCCGTCCCCTCCTCTTTAACCAGCACTGCTCAGACATGGTTACTTCTGTTATCAACAGCCATGGGAGGGGGCACATTTCATGTGTCATACCTTGGCTCTGGGTTTGCCAACAATAAACCAGCATTTTACTGATTAAGCACAGAAAAAGTCATTCAGACCATTCTGACACTGACTGTGTCTTCAGTTTCAGAATAGCAAGTGATAGGGAATTTTGCATCTGTTTTTTTTCTCTAGCATGTATTTCTCAGTTTAATCTGAATGAGGTGTTTTTTCATCTGTCATTTGATACTTAGCAGGTAGCTGTGATGTAATCTCTGTTATATGTCTGCTCTGTCATATAAAAAGTCATCAACCAACCTAAACTACCCAAGTCACAGCACAGAACTGCACTATCTCTGTATTAATCCAGAATCTGCTCTTTTTCAGTCAGGAGTTACGAATCTAGAAGACATGTTCTTTATAGTACTTCAATAATCCTGTCCATTACATCACTTAATTTATAGCAGCGTTCACAGAAAAATCAATAAACATTATTTCTAAAATGGCAGGGATGTTAATAGTGTGATTTAAAAAAAATAGAATCAAAACTCTGAACAGAACACACTGACATAGTGTTGTAGAGGCACATCTTGCTGGAAATGTGATAGGGAGGATTTAAATCATTTTGAAAAATGTGTGTAGGTAGCTATTCTTAGA